CATCACTTCGTTAATCGGCCAGGCCCAGTCCACACATCAATAGCCCATCAGCAAAGCAGGCTCTGCAGAACGAGGAAGGGGAAAATAACGCCCACAGCGGCCAGGGCATTCAACGGCCAACACAGGCTACGGCTACCCAAGTAGCACCCGTATCGGCCATTCAAGCGGTCATACATATTATATAAAGGAAGGCCTTACAACGTCCACAGCACCACAAGGGAAGGGAACCCAATGGCCATCGGCCCTCACACAAAACCCTTGATGATAACCCTTTGAAAGCGACCTGCGTCCAAGGGTTCTCCCACATGTTTACCTTGGTCAGGAAATCGCCAAAGGGAAGGATTCAAGGCCAGCATGAGGATCCCGCTCCGGCCTGGGTCTCACACTACTCCTTCACCCCTCACTCACTCTTCGGCCTGAAGCAGTGGGGGACTGGGGGACTACACCGGCCTTTGCAAATCAGGACAAAATCAAAGAAATCCAAAAATATACTAAGTCCACAACTACAACATCACACATGCACCACAATGTCCATAACATCGTGGTGCACCTTTGGCTGCAGCAAAGCTTGAGATCACAGGACACTTATCAGCTTTGAAACCACACCACTCTCAGCCAGGAATCAAAGAACAGGAGGTTAACGTACCTGAATCACCATCGTCCATGTACCGCAACGGCTCCAAGGTCCACACAACTTCATCTCCGGCCAGACAGTGTTATCATCCCCAAAACCTTGGGCAATATGGCGCCTTGTCACCCAAAGGCACATGGTGTCATCAACAACGGCCAAAAGGAGTACACAGCACCCTCACCGGTCACCCAGAACAAGACGCAACCCCAACGGCCTCATCAGCCCAAAAGGAAAGATCGACCATCAACGACCAAGGATAGACACTACCTTCATCGGCCACTCATGCCAGAACACTCATAATCCACAAACAAAGCGCACCAAAGGAATAACAGCCTTCCCCGTCCGCATCAAGGGGTAGGTAACGGCCAAACTCAGAACAGGACCATCAAACGCCACGACAGAGAACGGCCAACGTGGTCCCGCATCGGCCAAGAGCATCAAGCACAGAAATCTACTCTCCTTCACTTCGTCTGCATCTCAGCTTAGAGAGTGGGGGACTCCTGATGGAGTATATGGGTCTAGGTCCCAGGACCCACATACTCATAAGAACAGAAAGTACAAGCCACTAAGGGGTGCCCTCGTCGGCCAAAGGACCCCCGTCGGCCGAAGAGGGAGCGACTCGGAATATGATCCTGAAGCCAGGGAACTAGGGTGTCCCCGTCGGCCGTGACCTCATCGGCCGTGCTCTCGTCGGCCAGACCCTCGTCGGCCACGGAAGCCTCACAGAACTAGATTTTACACTTATTCATTTATATACCCCATCATTTACTTTGTATTCGGCCCAATAGCGGTCCAGTTGTAAATGGGCCTCCCAAGCCCAAGGCTTGGGAACCCAGCCCGTATTTTTCCTATAAATACTTCCTCTAGAGGTAGTTGTAGGGGTTACAAAATCATTCTATTGAAGCATTTACTTGCACTTCTCTCTCTAGCTCTCACTTCTCTCTAGATATATACTCTATCATTAGGTATTTGACTATTCTCAAAAATGTAGAACATTTAACCTTGTTCAGTTGATCCATGTGTATATTTAGAACAGCTACGCCTTCATTAGTTTAGAAAAATCTAGAAATTGATCTTAGGTGATAATAAGCTGATCTTGGTTCAATATAGATGTTGGTATGAAGTAAAATCAGCACGATCCGTATCAAGGCACTTTGCATCTTATGAGAGAACATGTTCAAATATGTCACGTCCATAGATAAAACAAAAACAATAATGACAAAAAAAATTGTGCCATAGACAATTTTTTAGGTGCTACTGAGAATTTTTTTCGCCTCCACCAAAATCGGTTCTCTTGAAATTTTTGAAGTAGGAAAGTGTATGGTGACAGGAGCGCTTTTAGGCTAGTTGGAGTCTATTGGAAGAATGTTGATTGAATTTTGAGCTTTTAGATGGTTGTAACACAAATATTTGATTACATTAATATAGTTTTTAGATTTCCTTTCGTAAAAAGAAGATAGCAAGGTAACTTTCTATTCCATTCAGAGGAACGCATGTGTGAAGAAGCTAGACTTCGGGTGATTTTTAATTGCGAAATTGAAAGGAGAAGAAATGGATAAAGATGAAGAAGATAAATTAAGAACGCGCGAGATGGAAATTTTGGATATTTGGGTTAGTGAATATAATATTAGTATTTTGTAAAAGAGAAATAAAATGTCTAGTATCTCCTAATATTACTTCGTTTAGCATTCCAATTTTAGTTTAATTTTGATTTTGTTAGTGCTTCATTTAATGATGATGATGATGATGATCATAATAATGATGATGATGATGATGATGATGATGATGATGATGATGATGATGATGATGATGATGATGATGATGATGATGATGATGATGATGATGATGATGATGATGATGATGATGATGATGATGATGATGATGATGATGATGATGATGATGATGATGATGATGATGATGATGATAATAATAATAATAATAATAATAATAATAATAATAATTGGAATAGATGAGTGGAAATTCTAGAGTGAAGGGATTCTATGTAGAATCTATATGCTAATATACATTTAAGTTGGGAGTATAGGACTACTTCCTCGACATTTTGATGGGATGATGACCTTTCAGAGCAAGATGGACCATTTCTTGATTTGCGCATGTGATCTTGTCAAAAGCATCTATTTAGAGCATCATGTTCGAATGTTGCAATGTACACAACGTTCATGTGCCATGACAGATAGATACATAAATATTAGCAAATAAATTATCTTTCTCCTTATTTAAATAATTGACCGTCGTACTTTGTAAGGAAAGTCAATTATGCCCTCGTACTTTAAGTTTCGTCAATTAAGTCCTCCTACTTTGTTATTTTCATCAAAACCGACTTTTAACAAGTAACTCGCTCGGTCAGCAGGTTACCTGCTGACGTGGCGCCTACGTGGCCTGACACGGTGCACACGTGGCTATTCACATCATTTTTTTCTTTTCTTTTTTCTTTTCCTTTCCTTTCTTTGTCTTCCTTTTGTTTTCTCTCTCCCCGTTTCCCCTTTCCCAGCGACCCACCCTTCTTCCAAAAAAAACCTGAAGCTCCATCTTTCATTATTTCTTTCTTTCTCCGGTTTTTCTTCGGCAACGACCGGTAAGGACAACACACACTATTCATTCAAAGATCGATTATTGCTCATAACTCAAATGTGTGCGATTTTTATTTACTTTTTAGACTAAATTGGAGTTTGTTGGCAAGGAACGATGCTCCATATCAATTTTGAACAACTGAGGACGTGATTTGGTGGCTGGTTTATAGCTGATCGAAAGTTCCTTTTTTAGGACTCCTCCGGCATTTTTTCCGGCGACATCGGGGCTTGGCACAAAAATTAAAATATGCAAAGGAGGTCGCCTTGAACAGGCGCACCTCCTCATATTTTTTGTTTAATTTCCCGAACACCCTCCATTTTTCGGTCACTGTTCATGCCGATGGGTCTGGAGAATAAGAAGGTTGGCAGGGAAGAGAAAGAAAGAAAAGAGAAAACAAAGAAGAAAAGGAAAAAAATTCTGATGTGACCTGCCACGTGTGCGCCATGTCAGGCCACGTGTGCACCACATCAGCAGGTAACCTGCTGACCGAGCAGGTTACCTGCTAAAAATTGGTTTAGACGAAAATAACAAAGTAGGAGGACTTAATTGACGAAACTTAAAGTACGAAGGTATAATTGACTTTCCGAACATAGTACGAGGGCCAATTTGACACTTTTCTCTAAATAATTTTATAAATGTTTTATAAATTTTTCTCTGCAATGTCAACCACAATGTCAACATCAACACGGTCTTCTTGATTGTCGAGAAAAACTTACAAAAATTGTATAAAATCATTCAAATAAAGAGAGATAATTTACTTGCTAATATTTATGTGAATATCTCTCATGCCACATGTGATCCGTGCACATTATACCATTGAAAATGCTCTGACTAAATTTGATTACAATGATCTGTAATCAATGGTGGAGTCACTTTAATTCAAAGGTATTCATATGAATACTTAGGATTTTGAAAAATATGGTAGTATACATGTATACATTTAGTTTAATTATTTATTGTCATTTCAAATTTTAATTATAGAAAAAAATGAACACTCAAAACTTAAATCATACGATTCATACATCCACCACTGTCTGTACTTCAAACAATTGGTATGCTTAGGGATGGACTCAGGCCGCGTGGCCCGATCCGGAACCGGCCCGGGACCGGTACTGTTCCGGTCCAGCCCGACCCGGTGGCCCGGTCAGTGACCGGTCCGGGTAGGCCCGGCCCGTGGATTTTCCGGTCCGGGCTCGGGTCACCCAAAACAAGGCCCGACCCGGCCGGGCCCGGACCCGGTTCGAGCCAAAAACTTTTTTTTTTTCAATTTTTTTTAAATTTTCGGGTTGGGCTGGGTATTTTGGGCCATTTGGGGTGGTTTGGGGGGTTGGGGGTGGGAGGGGGGTTAATTTGGAAGAGGAAAACAAAAAAAAATATAATGGGCCCGGCCCGGACCCGGACCGGTTGTTACCCGGGCCGGTCCAAGGTCCACCATTTCTGACCCGCCGGCCCGCCCGGGCCTAGGCCCGACCCGGACCCGGCCCGGACCCGAGTCCATCCCTAGGTATGCTTAAACGAGAAGAATATTTAAAGAAAAGTCACTTTGTCAGAAACAACTCACAAAACGATCAAGTACTTGAACAGTGCTAAATTATTATTTTGAATTTTGAAATTTTGGGAAAAGTTCTGTTTTAAATGCAGCTTAAAATACCTTTCTCAAAATTGACATCATGCAATGTTTAGGTTTCCTAAGATGTAAAAGTAATACAATATCTTTATACAAGAATCTTAAATTCTTAACCCTAACTCTAGTTTTGTGGTGGTTCAGCTAACTTTTGTGAGACTTAAATAATTTATTGTATTCAGTTCAGTTGTACCCTCGTAAATTTAAAGGTATGTTTAGTAATATATTACTTGAGAAGGACATAATGACAAAGCTTTAGGAGGTATATCCTTCCCAATAGATTGATGGGAAAACATAAGAAACTACAGTACAATATACGAAACTATTATTAGGATGGATAAGGCATATTTTCTGGGTTTTCCTCAAATTAGCTGCACTCACAATACAATAACTAATGGGATCTGTATTCCATCTCTTTGTGTGTGGGCTGTGGGGAGGTGGTGCTCAGACTGCTCACATCCATTTGATATGCGCCAGATACCACAATGGTGAACAGATCTTTAATTTAATAAACATATGGCAATATTCTCCAAGGGACAAGCTTACAATATTCTTTCCAAACATCTTTATACTTCTCGGCACACCGGGCATCGTCCCTTCTCTCCCTCCATATTAGCAAGATAAGAAGATATATAGGATAAAAGTACGGAACTGCAGAGCTGCATAGATTCATAGTGCAAATAAGAATTCTGTCAGTCTTCTAAGTATTAATATGAGTTATTAGTTCAAACACAAACTGTCATGAAATATACTGCTTAGATGGCTAGTGATTAGTTACCTAATCCCACAAGGCAAACTGAAGGACAGTGCAAGTAATAAATCCCCGAGGTAATTACAGTGTCGTGCAATTCCCCTTCAAGAAAAGATGTCTATTTGAAATGAAATTCATCAACCACAAGAAATAATGGATGTAAAAATTGAAAGCTCACCAATAGCCAGAAGCCAGCAATTTCCCCCCAACAACTTTTGGTGGTCTTCCCCATATTAGAGCTTTTGGGTTCTTTTTAAAGAGATGTTTCTGCTTGTTTGATCCTCTAAACACAAGATACCTTTCCACCCAAGATAAAAGTTACTGATTAATGAGGAAGTTTTTAAACATGATATAAAAGACTGTAATACTCATTTCATATGAATACAACATATAGTTGTGTTTTAAAGTAACAAAGTAAGAGAGGAGGATTCACTACAAAAAATACTTACCCAATCAAAAAAGCAAGACAATTTGCAATTACAGCAGCTGTTGTTAGCTCCACTTTGTTTCTTAAAAGCCACCAGCCCTAAAAGAAAATGAGAAGAAAATCAATTTTCAGTAGTACAAGATCAAACTCGTATTGAAAATACGCTTGTAGGGCTTGGCCACAGTAAAACTTAAAGGTATTAAAAGTGTGAAAATTGTGAATTGTATGAACTTTTTTAGGGTACTACAACATTGTTTTGGCTTTGGCAATATATGTGCTTTAGTGTGCTATCATTTCCGACATTCATCCCATACAATAAATCTAACAGATTTTACCCTAAGTAGAAGCAAAAACAATGTGATATTCGAAAATAGGAGTGTTATGGTTCTTCCCTATATATGAGTAATTGTTGGCATGCTTGAAAAATACTACCTATTATGGCATTAATAATGCCTGTTAATGCCAAAAGATGGCAAGTATAATTTTAGGATGAGAGTAATTTACTCTCTTTTTTTCAATCATTTCCAATGGAGTCAAATGGTTTACTAAACTGTCAACGCTTTCTGGTTATGAAGCAGCATTCGATCCATGCAATATTATACGCGATTTCCATCATGGGTCATCCGGAAACAACCTGCTTTAGTACATGGTAAGGCTGTGTACATCCAACCCCGTTACCCCACCGTTGGTGGGAGCACCGGGCTAATGTTGTTGTATAGTAATTTACTCTTATTTAGGGGGAAACACGGGAAATTTCCCCAAATCCAATGAATATAGTATATGCGACGGTACTACAAAATCTTAATTGGGTGCTCTCTATTTTTTTGTATCACACTGCATACTGAATAGCATATGTCAATTGCGCCAAAAACTTTTTATCTAATAAAATATGTCAAATGCACTGAGAGATTTTTTATCAAATGAAATACAGATCTTTACAATGAAAATATCTGGAAATGGAATATTATAATGACATTGATGTTCATGATAACTAATAAGACTAATCAAATTTAAAAAAGAACGAAATATATACATCACTTAGTCTTTTTAAGACTTTATAGTGTGCAGTGTGCCATCTGTCTAACTAAATGTATATGAATGCAGCTTGGTTCATATGTGATGCATATATCTCTTTCCTTATTATATGTTGCACTAAAATAAGCTTTATGTTGCATTAAGATTTAACTTTTGTGACGTTGCACTAAAACAGTTTCATTGCACTAAATTAACTTCATGATGCACTAGAGATGTGTAGCATGGATTTTTTCGAAGTATTACAAAAATGTCACTGCACATAATTGCATATTTCAGTGCAACTTGAACCTCTTTTATTGCAACATAGTCGAACCCAATGTCTGAGATTCATTCTCATTTCTCACCTAAAGACTCCTTATTTGAAAGTCAACCTGCATGCATGCATCCACGCACGCACACACATCGACGCACGCACCGTGCGCGCACACACACGCACGCTCCGCGCGCACACACACACGCACGCTCCGCGCGTACGCACGCGCGCACACACAGGGAGCGGTTCCGGTAAGAACGGACTCGCAGGAGAGAAATAAGAACGAATCTGAACGTTGGATTGTATTATGTGGAACGGAAATGTGCATTTGATGAAACTGAAATGTGTATTACATGATACTGAAATGTGTAGAATAAAAATTTAAACTCAATTGTGCATCAGGTGAAACTGAAATGTGCGGAATAAAATGTAAAAAAATAAAATCACATCGTACCTTTTATTCTGCACATTTCAGTTTTACCTAGTGCACATTTCAATTTCACATAATGCACAATTCAACTTCACTTAATGACATTGTATCATACGCTTTGTGTTGCACATTTCAATTTCACCTAATGCACATTACAGTTTCATCTATTGCACATTGAATATCACTTAAAATAAATCTAACGGTCCAGATTCGTTCTCATTTTTCTCCTAAGATAATGTTCTTATTTGAACTAAAACCTATATATATGATGGAGTATATTCCCGTATACCCCAGGGGTACCGTGATCGCCGGTAGAGAGCCTTGCGGGTTCATCGAGGGTAACAAAATACTAAGTCCACATCTGGATCCGACCCCGACCGCCGAGGTCGGGAAACATCAAGTTCAGGAATAAGGCAAACTCACCAGATAACATAGTCCTCCGAGATCGGGGTCAGGAAAACATCGAGCTCAGGAGCCAACCGAACTCGCCGATTCATGAGCCCGACCTCGAGACATCCGAGGTCAGCACCAGGTCTGACCTCAGAAGTCTTACTCTAGGTCAACGTTAATCAAAGCACCAGGCGGTCAAACCACCTCCGAAGCAAGGATGGAAGATAGCAGAACGAGTCCTCCCAACATAAGCCCGAGCCCCCAGATACCGACCTCAGTAACCCTCGAGGTCGGGAGAAAAGCACCATCTACTTAGGCAAAATCCGCAAGGGCTTAATTCGTCAAGAAACACCGCCACGTCACTCTCCGCACTGACGAAATGTACCGGATTATCTGTATACGGCTACACGAAATCTTTGGCAGGATTTCTGTTAGAGGAATGATCAATCAGCCAGCTACCAGAAGCTCTCTCTCTCCAATCAGCTTTCCACGTGGCTGCTCCCGGTCCATTTAGTCTGGTAGTTTGTTAGAGTAGCTTTACATGTGCCCCTCTCCTATTAGACTAGTGCCTTTTTACTTGGGCACCAAGTATTTCCCTTTCTCCTTAGTATAAATATCACCTTCCAACTTGTGGAAAGGGATTGAATTTTGGATGCTTGAGTTTTGATCAATTGCACTCTAAATTTCATACTGTGAGACTTGCAAGCCAGTTCGCTCTCCCCATTTCCTCTCTTATTCTCGGTGGATTCCGGCCACCCCTGGTCCGTCGATCCATCATTTTTGGTGCTTTCATTGAGAGTATACCTGTTCGATGGATCCTTGCTTGAGTTTTGATCAATTGCACTCTAAATTTCATACTGTGAGAAGTGCAAGCCAGTTCGCTCTCCCCATTTCCTCTCTTATTCTCGGTGGATTCCGACCACCCCTGATCCGTCGCTCTCCCCGAAAGTTGGTTAACCGAAATGCGGTTAACCAACCATGCCCACTGCTAGTTCTCAGCCTAAGAATACTTCTCACCTGATCCGCTCCCTATATATGTATATGCATATATATATATATATATATATATATGCATATACATATATAGGGAGCGGATCAGGTGAGAAGTATTCTTAGGCTGAGAACTAGCAGTGGGCATGGTTGGTTAACCGCATTTCGGTTAACCAACTTTCGATTAACCGAGAGTTCGATTACTATATTTTGTGTACCACTACTCGTACCATAATTTCGGTTAACCGGACATTGGTTAACCAAAATTTCGGTTAACCGTCAACCGTTTAACCGAATAACCATGAAATAAATTAAATAAAAATACAGTAATTAAACTGCTAGCTTATATGGAGTTTTTTGTGTTCGATCAATGTTAAATCTGTGTTGAAGACATGAGATACTTACTAATTAGTATACCTTTTTACCCTCTACTATTGGACAAAAACAATATAGTTTAATATTAAAAAATCAATGCAACTTTTTTTTTGAATAAATCAGAAGATACTTCATATAATTATACGCACTCTGTATCTTATTAATTCATTAACTTAAAATTTATTTCGTATGTATATCCTTAATGTCTAGCAGCAGCATTCGTCCTTATACAACACAGCAACACTTAGTTTTTAAATTCTTCCCAGGTTTGGATTCGTTCCATGGTGCTGCTGCAGTGGGACTTATTTTTTTGATTGCATATTGGCATATGAGAATTACGAAGCATATAATATTTGAACATTCAGTTATCGGTTAACCAACCTTGAATAATTTAAAACCGTAACCATATCGCAAACCGTTTTCTCTTTCGGTTGGTTAACCGTACCATGTAATTTTTGAAAATGTGGTACGGTTAACCAAAAAAAGTGCCGGTTTTTCGTTTTTTGATTCGGTAAATCGGTTACGGGTTTTTATGCCCACCCCTACTGAGAACTGCGAAATAGTTTAAAAAGTCGTAAAAGTTAAACATTTGACTTTATAAGTTATGTTTAACGTATTAAAGTTCATTAGGACATATATGTCTTGGTAAATGAATAAATATCTTTTTGATAAATATTTTTTTGTAAATATTTTTAAACTACTACTAGTGTTTTTCATTGTAATGTCATATTTCCTCAATTTATCACTATAAAATTATACTTTTGATTTATAGTTGTTGGATTTATAAGTTATGATTTCTGTTATATAAGTTACATTATTGTCTCTATTAGTTAAACTTCGCAGTTCTCAGCCTAAGACACTTCTCACGTGATCAAATTTGGTGGAGATCCTACACTTCATGAGAAACATGCTCAAAACATTTGAGCAATAATACCACCAGGAACCACCTCAAACGAGGTTGCCAGACAGGAATAGCACTCTATATATATCACAAATATATATATTTATAGCACATATATATAGAGTGCTATTCCTCCTTCTGGACAGGAGGGTGGTCCGGCCACCTCCTTTTGTGGTGGTTCTCGGTGGTATTTTTGGCTCAAATGTTTTGAGCATGTTCCTCATTTAGTGTAGATGATCTCCACCAAATTTGAGCAAAAAAATTAATCGGTAAGGCAATGAAATGGTTTTTGGAAGATAATTGCGCCAAAATATGCATGTAAAACACAGTTATCTTCCAAAAATCATTTGACTGTCTTACCGGTTGAATTTTTTGCTCAAATTTGGTCGAGATCATCTAAACCTCATTAGAAACATGCTCAAAAAATTTGGGCAAAATATACCACTAGAAACCACTTCAAATTGAGGAGACAGACCACCCTCAGCCCGACAGGAATAATTCTCTCTCCCTCTCTCTCCCTCCCTCCCTCTCTCTCTCTCTCTCTCTCTCTCTCTATATATATATATATATATGTATGTATGTATGTATGTATATGTATATAATTCCTGCAAGTTTCATCACAAAATTACTAAAATTTAAACATCGTTCATCCTTCTTCATTTTCTTCAGATGATGAATTTCAGTCATAGGACTGTACAAACTTTATACGCCAGTTGTACTGTCCTATATGAACTATTGTAGACCATGAAAGGGACAACAGCGTGTTAAAGCAAGTTGTGTAACTATGGCAGTACAGTTGTCAATCATGTGTTAGAAAAAGGTTAGTGCACTCGATCATACAGAAACATAAAAATGAAAGGGATTAAGGGAACGTGTGGTAGTATATGGTATACCGTAGAAATCATCCATGTTCCGAACACCAAGGCTAATCTACTTGTGCAAGAAATGATGATAAATGAGCTGAAGTTCATTTATAATACATTGCCATATATCAAGAGTGTACAAAACATGTAAACAAACAAATCACATAATTTCACATACCTGAATACTGAAGGTGAAAGGGATCCAAACTAGATCGCCAAAAACCAGCATGAACCCCAGCCTCTCTGCAATTATATCCCATCTACAAAGTAAAGCCAAGACTAAACAGTTATAATTGAAAATGGGAAATAAGAGATTTGTCAAAAAATATACGGAAAGAAATTTGAGATTAGGTAAACAATGACATAGATATAAACCATATGGTTCGGGCACTATTGGAAATAATTTATGATGGTAAAAAACGGCTAGGAATATACTTACGTGGAGGTCATAAATTCTTCATAGAAAAAGTAGTCAACAATATACAACTGCAATAATGAAGAGAATACAAAAGTATTAATCTATACACGCATTGAATATATAATAAATAGATGAATGTATAGTGATATTAAATTTGTTATACATATGACCCATCCAGGAAAGGGAAATGTTCTTACTCCACTAAATATCTGGTAAAGAACCATCGATTGGTTTAAATCGCCTTCCTGAATACATTTTGCAAGAATTGAAAGATTGATAACTAACCAACCCATCATTCCAGCTCTAACAAAGAAAAATCTACAGAAGAAGGTTTCATTACTTAACGAGCATGTAACAAATGATAAGGCCTTCAAAAAGGTGTCATGGATATTATAAGTAAAACTAAACAGTAAACAAGTGTAGAGTTTAGAAATTGCTATATGTGGAGGCAAGAAACAAACTTCAGATCAATGCCCATAAATTGAGGATTCAACTGTATCCCAAACCACCTATTTGAGAAAAGAACATGTTAGGGCATCAGAGTATTCTGATCAATAGTTCATGAAAAGCAATAAGAAAGAAACACTCAAGATGAAAAAATATTAATAAAAATTATCTGCCATTACACACGTGTGAGAGTAGAAATAATAATTGTATCCTATTGGAAAATAAAGGTCCCATTTACTTTTAATGGTCATGAATTCATTGACTTGTATCCAACAGAAAATAAAGGTCCCATTTATATTTGACTCTGGATTCAAAGGTAAAAAAGTTTCAGTTAAGCAACAATCAATAGAATTACCAGTCACTGATAAGGTTTCCGGTTACGTGAGGCTTCAGAGATGAGCTGCAAGCTCTTGACTTGAATCCAACCAAATAGAGTACTAGTGTTGCCTTGCATTCACGGCACACAGAAATTAGGAAAGAATAAACTAACAAAGGAAACAATAGAAAAACAACACTCTAGACATAATAAAATTCCTTTGTAGGGCCATAATTGACAAATCATATATCAGACGGTTCAAAACTAGTGAAAATTTACGTGGAGTGAACAGCTTGTGTGAATGCAAGTATGTTTAGTTGAAAGGGTGAGTTGTAAATCTTCAACCGTGCAATACATGTTTTGTGAATTAGAATCAGGCTAAGTTAGAAATATGAGGCAACCTAGATATAATTTTCTTCATAGAAGTAGAAACCATATGGTTTTAAATTTCTGCATGAAACAAATGAAATCAAGAAGTGTAGAGTGCAAGTTACCAAAAAACTGAATATAAATGTCACTGACAAAATTTCAATCCCTCTGTCTGCTATTGCCTGCAAGAATATGAATAAAGGTTCATACTTGCACTATAATTTAAAAGTGTCAAGTAAAATATATGAAACAATATGTTCCATTTGATTCAACGCTTAAGGGTTTGCAACATATCAAAGATCTAATATCAATAATCGCAAAACATTGAGAACATGCTTCTTAAAGAACAACAAAATTTGGATTAGAATGACAAGAAGCCAGTTTTAAGCAATATGAATTACAAAGCTTTAGTGCTTTACTACTCACTACAAGGCTTTACAAGGCAAAGAAAGTACTTTTCTTCAGAACTAAAACTTCCACAAACTTTGAGACTCGAAAAAGAGCAGGAAAATGGTGCCCAATTCTTATGGGAATCTTATATTGGTACTAAGGTGGTAGCCACAAATAATATTAAGGGAAATAATCTTTATCATGGGAAATCTGTTCCAATAACATATTAATCAACAACGCCATGTTCCAAATTTCCATTCCTTCTTAAAAATCACTACATGTTAGTCCACTATCATGATACACAACTGGGCTTAATTACTTCATGCGATTTGAGCAGATGAGCTCCAAATTGTACTGCAACCCTTTCTCAAGGAAAAAACGGTATCACTTGTAAGAAGCTACGACTTGCAGTTAGAGTCTCATGGCTAACATCATTACTAATATACACTTGGAATCTCAAAAACGTATCATCCATCTGTTCAAATCAATCAAGTGCTTACAGTGGGCGATACAAGATTTATCCATGCTCCAAACCCAAGAAGAAAAACAAACAGAAGAAGCGATAACAACCCTACAATGTCCAGAGAATTCGCAAATTAGACAGAACAGTTTTAGCAGAGGTTTATGTACGGCACATACAGAGTGTACCATTGCAGCGATAGTGGAGGCGAGAGCCATCGGACAAAACTACACCGGGAACGAGCTTGCCTGGAAGAAGTGATCCGGCAATTCCCAGATAAATGAAGAAGGAGAGTAGCATCGCAGCCTGTTTTAGCAAGACATAGTTAGACAGGCACACGCGTACAAACAGACACGTTTTCACATGCAGAAATAGAAAGTTGAGGAAATGGCGGAGACCGATGTCCATGATGGAAGAAGAGTTGAAAGAAAATGGTTGAGATCCATCGCAAGATTCAGATTATCTTCTCGGTATCACGTCACTGTGCGCCTCAACCCACACTCTGTGTAGCAAGTCATTTGCGGGTGTAGGAAGGAGGCAGTGGGGAGGGCTGGACAAGGGTCGGAAAATAGATAAAGAGAAAATAGAGAGCAAGGGAAAAATATTTTCTAAAAACATGACATTCCCTTGTCAAAAAAAAAATCTGACACTCCTAGTAATTTACACCTTATCAACATTATCAAAACAACGGTATCCTTTATATTCAAAAGTATAGCATAGAAAAATACATTGCACACACCGCAACAAAAGTTTATTTGCAGATGATGCATTAAAATTGGGAAAACATGCACAACACAAAACACACATGTTGAGTTAATAGGCTTGACTATGGATCAACCCATTACCCCTTAGCGGATAAACTGTCACGGCCCAATTTAGGCATGGTCCATCAAGGTGCCTTGGAAGCCAAAAGGGACCCTCGCATCATGAGGGAATTGACGGAAACCATGTGACGCATGGCGGATGAGCATGACGTGGAATGGGCAGTGTACTCTGCAGAAACCGAACGTACACTCTTTCCCCGATTCCCCCCCCCCATCCGCTCCATGCAGCCGTTCGGGGAACGAACAGGCGAGACTGTGGAGTCTCGCACATCGGTCCACACTCGGATCGGCTGGACCCCCCACTCCCCAGACATGGGAGGTCAAGGAGGGACCAGGCCCCCCAGAGGAGGGCAACAATCAGGGATGGATTTAAGGGGGGCACGGGGGTGCGTCCGTCCCCCTTGGACTTTCAAAATTTTCTACTATATATGTAATGTTTTTGTAAAATTTTGATACTTTAATTAGATTCGCCCCCTTATCTTTTTTTGAACATTGCCCCCTTAACTTTTAGTTTTTAAAATTAATATATAGTCTTACAAAATGTAATACTTAATTCGAGATCTAAAAGAAGGGACGTCTAAAATCATTTACATAACTTAAATAAACAATAGAACAACTCATTATTTAAAGATTTAGGATACTTATTGTATAAAAATTATTAGTTTTGTAATGTTTAATTATCTTAATTATATAACCAGTAAACAATATAATTTTGAAAAATCTATATCAAATGATTTTAAATACCAAACACTCTAGCTACAAAGTTTTTAGATCATGTGAAGTGAATCCAAATTATAAATGTTTATTGACATTAAATTACACAATTCATTTACTTCTTACGTTCAAAAAAGACTTTATTGCATAGATAATAAACTTTAAATATTTTAGCATTAATACAAATATAATATGCACTATATATATATATATATATATATATATATATATATATATGAATTAGCAATATAATACTTTTTTAAAAATAATAATATCATACATACTATTGTAATTGATGGATCACCGGATCGGGGTAGTCGGAATCCACGCAAAATGAGAGAGAGAACTGATCGGAAAGCACAGGTGTATAATTCGGCAGAGTAACAGTATGAGAATTGAGAAAATGTGATCCCTTTCCACAAGCTGGAAGGTGATATTTATACTAAGAGAAAAAAAGGCAATACTTTGTGCCCAAGTAAAAAGATGTTGATCTAATGAGAAGGAGACACGTGTAAAGCTATACTAACAAACTATCAGTCTAATTCGATGGGGAGCAACCACGTGTAAAGGTGATTAAAGAGATAGTCTTAGACAGCTGGCTAATTGGAATCATCCCTAACAAACTGCTACCAGAATACCCGTGTGGTTAAGCGCGTGCATTCTGGCATATTATCCGCTGCTGAGAATGACGTGGAAGCATCTCTCAGTGATGCCAGTCCTTGCAGATTTGTCTAAGTCCATAATGTCCTGGCCTGACCTTGAGCTTTGTTGAGGTCAGCGATTGGAGACTCGGGCTCATTGTGAGGGGATTCACCTCCTGTCTATTGTTCTGCCTTTGTGGTGTTTGACCACTTGACCCTTTGACTTTGGTTGCCCATATGCTTGACTTTCGAGGTCGGGCTTGGTGCCGAGGTCGGGCTCATAATCTGCCGAGTTTGACCCATTCTTGAACCTGGTGTTTTCCCGACCTCGGGGGTCGAGGTCGGGGTCGGACGACTTCTTGGCCCTTAGTCATTTTGTTGTCTGGCGTTCATTCCTGACCCTGGTTGGTCGGGTCGGGGGTCGGTCCATTTGTGGACTTAGTCCTTTCACGCACTCCAATGTGGCTGCGTGATGCTTTCTTACCGGCGTTTATGATACCCCTGGGGTATACGGGAATATACTCCAACAGTAATATTAAAAAACTCCTCGTGACTTATGAACACCCTCCATGGTAGACTAAAATTGTAATTCAAAAATCAATTTTTTTATTTCTATAAGACTCATGTAGTTAAACATTGTTGAAGTAATTTTAACAATATTGATGAATGTGTACCTTATAAACTCTTTATATTTAAATAAAATGTTATATATCATTTTTTATTTTTATATTATTTTCCTTTGATTTGCCATTTCTTACGCTTTAGGATGTTTTTACTTGGACTGTAATTTGCTGGTTTGGTCTGGTCTGGTCTGGTCTGTTTTGGTCTGGTCTAGTCTAGTCTGGTCTGGTCTGGTCTGAAATTTTATTTTCTATATTTTTTGCATAAAGATTTTATTTTATACTCCCTCCGTCCCGGAAATTAGTCCCACTTTGTCTTGGATATGTATGGTTGTGGTTGAGTAAGAAAAAAGTAAATGAATGTTAGCCACACAAAACTTTCCAAAAAGGGAAATGGGAACAATTTTTTGGGACGGCCCAAAAAGGAAAATGGGACTTATTTTATGGGACGGGGGGAGTATTGATGCACACTAATTAGTAGTGCATAATTACATGTTTTTATGTGTGATTTATGTTAATTGTTTGACGTTTTATTTAGTTTGTAAAACATTTATGTGATTTCAAGTTGTAATTGTATTTTAGTCTATTTGTGTCAGTTGTAAAGTTTAGTTAGGATTTATGGTTTGGAAAGGAAGACTTTGAAGTGAAGAAAAAGAAGATTTGGCTGCCCAGGAGCAAACACTCGACCGGGTATAATACTTGACCCGGTCGGGTAAGAAGTGAAAAACGAAAATGCAAATAAAGTGCATGGCCCGGTCGGGCCCACTACCTCACCCGGTCGGGTGAGAAGTGACCGGGGACAACCCGGTGTGCAAAGATCACCCGAACGTGTAGAAAATCCAATTTTTGCACTCACCCGGTCGGGTCTCATACCCGACCCGGTCGGGTCGGACATGACCCGGAACACCAGAACATGCTGAAGATCACAAAGATTTGGAAAAATCTGATTTAGACCAAACCCGGTCGGGTCCCTCACTTGACCCGGTCGGGTCTGACTTGACCCGGACAAATTAACGTGCTGGAACAATGAAACGTGGGAGATTATCTGATTTTGACCGGTACCCGGTCGGGTATGTACCTATACCCGGTCGGGTACCCGGCCAAAGGTGTTGAAAAACACCTATAAATAGCACACTTTTTCTTCACAAAAAAGAATCCCTTCTTCCATACTCTTAAGCTCAGTTTAGAATAGCATTTCTTTTTATTTTTCTAGCTATGTTTAGCCTCCAAATGAGGAGCTAAACTTCCATTCTTGGTGTTGCTCTTGAAGCTTGTTGATTATTAAAGTTGTGAGTTATTTTCTTAACTTCTTTCCTTGAATATTAATTAATAGTTCTTTCCTTAATACCATCTCTATATTAATGTTGGGGAGTGTTGCTAAGATGACAATTAGTTAACATCTCGACATTAGTTAGAATGATATTTTCTTCCTCTATATTAATGTTGAGGAGTGTTGCTAAGATGACAATTAGTTAACATCTTGATATTAATTATAGTAGGATTCATCTTCATTAATAATATTCTTCCTTGAATATTAATTAATCCCTACTCTTATTTCATATTAATATTTTGAACACTACTTAAAGGATCAACTAGTTTTGTTTCATATATTAATTATTACTAGAAACGATCAACGAACCGATGGTTAATCGTTGATGGTTTCACAAGTAAGCAACTTCGGTTTATTAATGCACGGTCGTGGTTAATAAACTTAAGAGAGATTAATTTTTTTGGTTAAACCAAAACCGCTTGTGTTGAGGTTATCAATCTCAATTGATTTCATCAAGGAGTTAGAAAGATTAAATGCTACTATTAAATCGGTATAAGGCGTTGTTCTATATTTGATTAATAGTAAGGGTTATTAATGAACGGTCGTTGTTAATAACTACCCTCGATGAAGTGGATATACTCCCCGATTGAGTATTCGAGAGGGAATAAGTTATAGATATAACAATGATCGACTAAAATATATCAACAAGTGGAAAGTAGCAATGCCAAGTCCTTTTTATCTTTGAATTAAATACATATAGGTTGTTCATCTTAGTTCTTAATTAAATCAAATCACTCAATCCAAATCCCCCCTTTTTATTTACTAAGTATCATAAAAAGAGAATTATTCCTTTCCCTGTGGATACGAACTCTACTACGCTATACTACGTATAAGTGTTTAGTATTGAATTTATTTTGACGCACCTTGACAAAGTGCTCGTCAAGTATATATATTATAATCCATAAGTAATTATATTTTATTCATTTATAATTAAAAATAATAATAATCCTTCCAAATTATCGAAAATTGTTATCATTTTAATTGGATTAATTTCAATCCTAGACCGAAGCAGATCATACAAATACAGAACAATAATAAAATAGTACAAGTATTAATAATAACAACAATAACAATACTACTACTACTACTAATAATAATAATAATAATAATAAACAATAATAATAATAATAATAATAATAATAATAATAGTAACAATAATAATAATAACAATAAGAACAACAACAACAACAACAACAATAATAATAATAATAATAATAATAACAACAACAATAACAACAACAACAACAACAACAATAATAATAATAATAATAAAATATGGTCTGGTTTGGTTTAGTCTGGTCTGGTCTATTTTGGTTTGGTCCGGTCTGGTCTGAGACGAATTACAGTCCAAGTAAAAACAACCTTAATGTATCAATACTTTTTTCTAGAGTACTCCAATTATAAAATTAAAGTAATTTTATCATTGTCTAAACTTAGAATGTAATATATAGATTTAAATATCGTCATGCATGTATTAATGAATTTTGTTTGAATTAAAATAGC